ACCTGAACCTGGGAACGTGGCTCGACAGTCAGCAGTGGCCGCTCGACCCCCCCTCGAGGGCACCCGTCGCGGACGGCGCAGGGCGGCGGCCGCGCGGGGGCGCTCGCTGCCAATCTGTCGCCACTGCGAGCGCCCCCAAATATCCCTGCCCCCGCCCCCGGACGAGGGGGAGCAAGGCGAGGGGGAAAGGGAACGAAAATGAGGAACAACTCGAACACACGGCCTGAGGCCATGCAAATGAAAAAAAAGGTGTCTGATTCGTCGAGCTGGCTCTGATCTGGGCGAGGCTGGCGGCTACACGCATCTGCCACTGAACTGCCCCGCCCTCCAATCCTGCCCGACTGACCAACCCACGCAATTGGCAACTCTCGCACTTGGTCAAAACTTCCAACACCAAAATCTGGCTGCAACAACCGAGGGGCTATCTGCTTGGTTCGGCGGATCCCGCGCCGCCCACTGGCTTGCGCTCGATTGGCCGCAATGCGTCGCCTAATCTCATCAGCGAGCCCCACTGGCCGTGGAGAGGGAGGAAGCACAACGGAGGAGGGGGGGGGGGGGGGCACAGGGCTCCGCACCATCTGGCTGAGACAAGCCGTTGCTTTTGACAAAAGCAAAAGCTTCAAAATACTGCCGTTCGTCAGAAGCCTCGATAGGACCCGGGCCCCAGGGGATTGCCTCAGTGTCAAAAACGGCCCCTGGCACATGCGCACCTCTTGCTTCTTACGGCGCGGGCGGTAAAAAAAAACCTGCGCCGCGGGCCCGCGCGGGCCCGTCCTGGACGGAGGCAGGAAGGGAAATCTGGCGCGCAGGTCTCGCCTGCCCCGAGGTATGGGCCCCTTTCCTACATGGAACGCCCTAAGCGACCCACGGAGCAGCTCCTCCTCCTCTCTCATATCCTCTGGCCATTCCGCTGCTTCACATGACGTGCACATGTGGTTAATTGCGCCCATGATACCGTCCGCTATGACCCGGCACAACGCTGGTGGGCATGTCTTCTTCTTGGCAGCACGCCATTCTCTGCGAGCCCTGTCGAACCCCATTAGCACATCGTGGGCCCCACGTCCGCGCGAGCAGCGCCCTCTCCCTGGCGCTTCGCATAGACAGTTGTGCAATGCGCCCATTCGCAGCGTCAATATGCGCATGGGAGCTCGCGCAACAAGACCGCGCTCACACTGATCAGAGTCGGTCGTCGTGGCCGCTGGGTAGGCAGCAACCGCCCTGGGAGCTGGACACAGGGAAAGAGCTGGCCGCCTACGCTCGCCAACTAGCCGGCAAGGGGCGCCCCATGCAACAACTGCCCCCGACTGTCAAGTGCACTGCAAAGAGCTCACGCATAGCCCCTAGAAGCTCGTTCCCCACCCTGAGCTGTTCCATCTGCCGCGGAGTCACAGCTAATAGGCACCAGAAATCGCAATCGGAGAGCAATGGTGGGGGCCCCATGTCGGGGGCCCATCGGACTGCTGACGACGTCTCGCATGGGGCCCCCCCGCCTGACAACACCACACGACGCACGCGAATGTGCTCCTTCGACACCTCCAAGGACTCACGATGCACCATACTGCCCAGCACGGGGTCGATGGCGATGTCGATCGGCAATGCACAGACCGAGCAATCCGCACTGTGTTCAGCCCATTCAAGCAATGCCTGAATGTCACCTGGCCTTCGTCGTCCACAGCATAGGTTGAGGATGTGAGATTCTGACGGACGCATGGCCGATGGCAGTGTCTGCGCAGCCTTGCCTTTGTACTGCTCGGTAAGAAACATCCGAGACGGGCAACGTTTGTGCTGCTCTGGCGTGCTGGCGGGCACGGGGAAGGCGGGCAGGCCTCCTCTTGGTCGGGGGGCGGCGGAGGGGGCAGTAGGGCTTCGCAGGCCTCTGGTGATAGATATGGGTCACTGTTCAGCATCACTTGTTTTGCATGCGCCAATGGCGCCAACTCCGCCACGTCACTGGCAAGCTGTGTAAAGGACCCGAACACGCGAGCAATAGGGACAAACACGCGCTGGCATGGTATGCACACATGGTTCGCATGCTCAGCCATCTGGGTTATTTGGGGAAGGGTCTGGAGATGGTAAGCAGGGTTGTCCCTAGTCAGTATGTCGGCGAGTAGGCATCTGGGCGAGTCGATCGATGGGTGGTCGACGAGATGCGGCCAAGCGTTGAACTTCAGCAGACACACCATGCATGTCCCGTCGAACACTGCATATCCCCGAGCAATCGTCACGAGCTGTCGGCTGGGCGCATACGCGCTATGCGTGCGCGCAGCGCGCGGTGACGAGCAAAGACGTCACCGACCCAAGGCCAGTCCATCTGTGTCACGGCTGCACTCGCTGGCGGCTGCACTCTGAGTCCTCTCCCGTCTGTGTACACACGGCGGGGCACTCCCGCTGCATGCACCTCCGCAAAGAAAAGCGACTCGGTGTGCTGCGCCAGTGTGTTTATGCGCTGATGCTGCGTGTACGCGTGCACTCCAATGCGTACGATGCGCTGCAATGCCGGCTGGCTGCGCCGAGCGAGCGACCCCCAAGCGCTGAGGCCATCGGCTGGGAATGGGAGATCCTGACACTGTTTGAGTGACCGTCGCAGCCATGTAAAGCCCTGAATCCACTGGCCCAAGGTCATACACCGTCGTTTCCGTTCATCGCCGCTGGCTGCACCCCTGAGACAAGAGCAGAGGCCAGTTGAGGCCCCGCGTGGCACAACGGCCCCAACAGACGCAGCGTAGCCGCCCGAAACGTGAGATCTGGGGAGGGTCTCTGTAGAAGGGCCAGGACCTTCGTGTCGGAAGCCTGGGAGACCTCCTTTTCAACGGGACATTTGCACTGGCGGTGGCGTCGCGAAGAAACAACTCCACGCGTGCTACACCATTCCATCCAATTGGAAGCGGACACGTGCGGCAGCACGTGTATCTCCCTGATCTATACACGTGCCACCTTGGCCTCCGCTGTCGCGACAGTAAGCCAAGCACCTGCACTGTAGAGTCGCCGTGACATGAAGAGACCGTCAGCAAGCACGAGTCGGCGATGTAGGGGGAAATCATCAGTCGCGAAGACTCGCCTACGTAGCCCTTGGAGAAAAGACGCGGTTGATACAGCACGATAGCGTATCTCTGGCGCCATCGGCGCTCCTGCGTCGAACACCGATCCAAGGTGTATGTAGTTGTACACTATGGGCGCGCTCACTGTTCCAAGCATGTCCGATGTGCCCGTGATGTGCCCGCCATGTTCGTGCCATGCTGCATGTCGCGCCTGCGTGGTACCCTGCCCGCGCCACATGATGAGGGCTGCCGTCTCGGACGGCCCAACGTTCAGTTTATGCCCCGGTCGTGCAAAGGCCTCCGACACAAATACCAATGACCTGGACATCGCATCAAATAACTGTGCGGCCGGCATGATCCGGATGACTGTACCATCGTCGGCGTATGAGATGTCAATCAGGTGACCTCTACCTGGGGTTCTCCAGTGTCTCCCTGCATGAGTCCACCTAGCGTTCTGGGCCTGACTGTCCGAGGCAGTAAGTACGGATAGCCTTCTCCATGCATGCGCTCACGCACTTCCCGCATACAGTCGGCCATCTGCATCTCAAACAGTACATCCACGAGTGGTTGTCCTGGGAAAAATGACCGTCGAGGTAACGATACCTGTCCAGAGCCTTCATACACAAACCACGGTGCTTGGTAACACTGTTCCACCACCTGGGCCACCGCGTGGGGGTCGACGTCGGATCTGGATAAGGCCGGTGGGTGTTGGCCACACGCAGGAGGGTGCGTGACTGCGTGCGCCGCTCGCGAGCTCGCCTGTGCCAGGCTGGCTCGCGCGCCGTGGGCGCCCGTCACGGGGCGGCGCACGCCGCGTCAGCAGCACGGCTGGCCCACACGCCTATGGCAATCCACAGCGCGGGCTGGCGCGTCTGATCGCCGTGTCCCGAGGAGGCTCGCAGCGCGTGGTACTGGGTACCAGGGCGCTGCACCCAAAGCCTCGAACCGGGACGGCGGCTAAGAGGCAGGAAGGGGAGGGAGAGAAGAAGAGGAGGCAAAAGGGGGGAGGAGGGGAGGGAGGGGAGGAGAGGGGGAGAAGGGAGAGGAGGCAGGAGGGGATGGAAGGGCAAAGAGGCAGAAGGGGAGGAAGGGAGAAAGGGATGACAGGGCACCAGGAGGGGAGGCAGAGGCGGAGAGGAGTGGCGGGGCAACAAGGTGGGCAAATGTTGGACGGGCAGAGGACGACGGGACTTTGGGTGCGCAAAGGTTTGAAGGGGTCCGAGGGTGGGGAGAGGCAAGGAGAGGGGATAGTGGGATTGAAAGGGCCCCAGGACACACAAGTAAATACATACTAATAAAAGGATTCCCCAAATTTTCCCATATTTTCTTGGTTTCTATCTTCCCCCCCCCCCCACTGCCTATATTTCCCCATATGTTCTGGGGAATCGACGATGAATTGCGTCTGTGTGTGTGTGTTTTTCTCCTCCTGAGGGATGGGAGGGCAAGGGCGGAGAAGAGGGCCGATGAGACACAAGGAGGAGCAAAAGAATGGATGGCACCGCACCAGGAGAAGGATGAGACTGGGACACCTGGAAGAACCATGATATGAAAAGCGCTAAGCGGCGATTCAGAATCCATCGGGGATGGACAGAACCCTTTAGTAAAACTTACCAGCTTGGAACTTATCCCTATCCCTAAGATTGACACGCCAAAAGGCGATGACAATCTTAGAGATGCGCCCTCAAAAAATAAGGGAATCCCTAAGATTGGCATTGTGATGAGGCGATGCCCAGTTTAGGGATAGGGATATGTTCCAGGCTGGTAAAAAAAAATGTGGTTTAGTGGAAACGACCTCGGGCCCGAACCTGGCGGGCGCAAGTCTGGAAAACGACGGCCGCGGCACCCTCTCGAGAACCGAAAACGGACAATTCACTAATCGACGTGTCAGGGTGGGGGTTCTGTCCACCCCCGAATCCACCAAAGATGCACAGAACTTTTGGATCATAACAGGCTGGCTCCAGTCTACCGGTATCTGTCGCGGCCCCTGCCATACGGAGATCTGCCGCGCAGAGGTGGAGACCTGGTCCGGCTCCGCACTCGCCTGCGGCTGGGGAGCAGCAGCAGCCGCACGAGGGCGGAGGGAGGACTCGAGGGGATATAGGTCGTTCCCTTCGGGTTCCGAGGGGTGCATCCCCAACTGGGGTGGTAAGTTGGTGGGGGTCTCGAAGGGGGATGCGTATGAGGATGGGAATCGGATGAACGATACCGCAGGACGGGGATGAAGACGAGGGACGAGGGAGGAGGAGGAGGAGGAGGAGGAAGAGGAGGAAGACGAGGGTCGAGGGAGGAGGAGGAGGAGGAGGAGGAGGAGGAGGAAGACGAGGGACGAGGGACGAGGAGGGAGAATTTTACTTTCGCAGCAGGCGAGCCCGCCCGCTGCTCAGCCCGGAAGTCGCGCTCGCGCGACGGCCGGCCGGAAGAAAAAAAATACGTCGGAAAAAACGCGCGGCGCCGGCGCCGCGAGGCGGGGCCGCCCCGCCCCCGGGCAGCCTGGTCTTAGGTCGGGCCTGTCCCCCTACAGGGGGAATTCTGGACGAAAAATAGAACAATGCCAAAACATATGGAAAAAAATGCGCAGGAAAATCACAAAATCGTCCAAAGGACTATTTTTTAACTAGTTCCGAATTCTCCTCCTGTAGAGGGACAGGCCCGACTTAAGCCTGGTCCTCCCCTTCACGAGCGGTGCATCCGCGGGGTGAGGCGGCGGCAGGGGCTGCCCCCCCCCCGCCCTGGCCAGCGGCCGACTCGACCGCACGCAAGATTGACTCTGGGTAAGATCGGGGAGACGCAAGACTCGGGTCAGGGGGACGCGCGTTGGCCCGACAGGGCCATCCATCATGACGATGACGCGACCCAATCTGAAATTTGACGCGGGCTCCCGCTGCAAATGTCCCACGAAAACTGGACCGTCAAAATTCAGGACGCGCTCGTCAAAAAGCGTCAGCAGACCCGAGTCCTGGCGTACTCGAGTCTTACGTTTCCCCGAAAAGAAGTACCTATTACCTCTGTTGGAGACTTGGAAATGGGTTTCAACACCAACACAGGGGTGTGCCTCTACCAGGGGAAGATGATCCTAGGTGGTAATCGTTCGGCCACCCAGGAAGCCAGAATACTACCACCATCACCGAGATCGGGATCGTCTTCCCTTGGTGGAGGCACACCGCCGACATTGATGTTAGTGTCGACCTCTAGCCTGCGACTTTGGTGCGCGGCTTTGGGTGGCCGCGGGGGGGGGCCAAACACACGCGCGCAAGACGCGACCGCATCGCGTTCGGCGAGTAGGGGACCCCACTGGGCCCAAAGGCCACTCCTACGTGTAGTCGGCCGACTCGCACTGGGCACATTCACCGAAGCTGCCCGCGCGCGCGGGCCGGCTACTTCAGCTGGGCAGACGGGCCGTAGATGCCGGTGGCCTTGGCGTTGTCGTTGGGCTTGGGCAGGGTCAGGTACTTGCCGTTCAGCTTGCCGGTGTCGAACTCCTTCTCGACCTGTGCGGCGGAGACCCAGCCCGGGAGCTTGGTCCCCACATACTTCTTCAACCACGGCTTGCCCCAGTCGGCCTCGAACCATGTCACGCCACGTTCCTCCTTCTTGGGGTCGAGGCCGGACCAGGCAGCCAGACCACGGAACCACGTGGTGGCCAGGCCAGTCGACTGATCGATGTTGCCCATGTCCCAGCGCTCGTAGCCGTACCGGGCTTTCCAGTACTTGTTCTCCTCGATCTTCGCGGGATCGGTGAGGTCTTCAGCCACGAGTTTCCTCTTCAGCTGGCGATTGGCCTCATTGTTACCGGTTCCGCCGAAGGCCTCACCGACCCTGAACTTGACGGGGCCGATGGCATACATGAGGTTGTCGACCTCCTTGCCCTCCAGGAACTCCTGCCTCGTGGGCCGCATGCGGTAGCGGAGGCCCTGGGCGCCCTGCGAGCGCTCGAAGCCGACCTCGCCGACCCAGTAGCCGTCCTGCGTCTGGAGGTCGCTGGTCCCGTCCTTTCGGCGGCGAGCCGGGGGGGAAGTGAAAAGGAGAAGGCCTTCTCAGAAGGCTCGAGAGTCCCCAGGCCTTGTAAGAAGTGCTCTACAAGCCTCCCCGGAAGACACGGAGAGCCTCTCCGAAGGCGCGAGGGTTTCTGAGAAGGCCCGCCGCCTTCTGAGAAGGCCTGCTCCTTCTGTCCGGCCGGGCGAAAGGGGGGGATAGCAAAGGAGGGGGTTGAGAATCGGCTCACGTAGCTGATTTTCCCGGCGCCTCCCGGCGCCGGAGGCGGCGATGTATCGAGGAACGGGCCCCTCGGTGGGGCCGAAACCAGCTGCACGCAGCAGACTTCGTAACCCCCCTTTCCCAATCCCCCCCCTTTCGTCCGGCCCGATTCTCGCTTCGCCCCTTCCGCTCGCCGCCGATCCTTCTTCTCGAGCATCCAGTCCAAGCGGTAGCCGTTCCTCTCGGGAGCGGCCAAGAGAGGGGCGTCAAAGAGGGGGCGGTGCAAATCATGATTGGCGGCATGTGCTCGGCCCAGCGGGGGGGCCAAGGACGCATTGAAATAAGAAGCGGCGCCGTGAAATCTGGGGAGATATAATGGCCCCCGCCATGATATCCCCCCCCCCCAGTCATCACCCCCCTCTTTGCCGCCCCCGATCCTCTGCGTGAGCGCGCCCCTGGGGGCCGCCGCGCCGGGGCCCGCGAAGGTGGCGCGGCCCGAAGTCCACGCGGCCAGCGCGGCCGCGGACACCAGCGCCCCGCGCAGCGCCTTGCGCGGGCCGGGCATTTTCGGGGGGCGCGCGGGCGGCGGCGGCGGCGCAGCGCCGAGCAGGGCGGAGGCCAAGCGGAGTGGCGGAGCTGCGGCCTGGAGCCAAACGGCTGCCGAGGGAAGAGGGGCAGGGAGGAGACAGGGGGGGACGACGAAGGCGAGGGTCCGGATGTCTCGTCGGGTGGTCGTGTTCGGACCAGCGCCTCTTGCCGCGAAGTTTTTGCGCCCACCGTGTACGAAAATTTGGCTTTTCGTTGCTCAGTGCATCACCTGATACCTTCTGAAATATTCCCCACTACTCAGTGCACTGCAGAATGCCTGACGCAGCCAACGCCCCACGACCCAAAACAGTGTAGCAAACCTGACCCCGAACAACTCGGCCTATTGTGCTAACGCCACTGGGCCAGCGGGATGGAGACTGGGCAGAAGCAGGTGTACAGAGGATCAGGCACCGCCACAAAGGCATGAATAGCAGATGCCATCTTGCATAAACCCAGCGATCAGCTACGCATTGCACAAGCACAAATGCCTTCTCCGAAAGTCCACAGTTTGCCCGTCGTTGCCGCCTTCTTGGGACGAGAAGATGGGGGACCGTCGTGCGGGGCAGCTCGCCCCAGCAGTTTGCAACGCTGGTACGCACACAACATATCTTACAAACACGAATCGCGCGCACAGGTCCAACATGCTCACCCATCGATTGTAGGAGACAACCCATCATATCAGTCTAACAGTCAGCCTGGCCAGCCCCGACGCCGCGCTACTATTTCTCTCTCTCTCTCTTTTTCTCTCTCTCTCTCTCTCTCGCTCTCACTCTCTTTCTCCTTCCGCTTCTCTCTATCTCTCTTGTTATCTCTATCACTCTATGTTTATCAATATCTCTCTCTCTCTCTTCATATCTCTCTCTCTCTCTTTCTCTCTATCTCTCTGTTTTCTCTCTCTCTCTCTCTCTCTTTCTTCGGACGCACGCCGAGCCCCGAACGGGGCTGCGCCAACCCCCGGTTTTTTGACCGCGCCGCCAGCCCCGGGCCAAACCCTCGCACCGAGTTTCTTCCAGCCCGCGTTTTCGAGCGCCCTGGCGATCCGGCCGGTGCTCGCGTGAACGTCCTCGGAGAAGCCTCCGCCGTAGACCTCCGAGACATGCTCTTAGTGCTTGGTCTTGGAGCACTGCGGATGCGGCCCAGACCGTTTGTTTCTGGTGCTGCGCATTGTGCCTGGCTTCACCACCGCTGCATGCCGCGGCAACGGAGAGCCCGACCGGCAAGCCTGTCGGCAGCCGAGCAACAAGACCCGCCCAACTGTGGATTCTGCGGCTACACCGCTGCACGAGATCGGGATCGGTACGATATCTCTCGAACGCCGTGCGCCCCATCTTTTGGAAGAGCCACCGCCACTGGTCGATCGACTGCCGCGGCGCCGCGCGGAGTCGAAGCACCTGGGCCGATTGCCTTGCGCTCCAGCTCGCGATATGATTCCAAGGGCTCCGCGTTGGACTCCACATGCTCAAGCTCCAGAAGAATGCTGCCCATACCGTCCTCGGGAGTACCCCACAGCGGCGCGAAGCCTGGATCCAACCACAAGTTAAAGTTGCCCCCCCCAGGTGTAAAAGACCCTGTTTGCATGCGCGCTTCGGCATGTGACTGCTGGGCCACATGTACCCTCGAGGTGGATCACCGCGCCCTCAAAGGTGAAATTTTCCACCCAAATCACCTTCTCGTCTATCACGTGCAGATGCTGGCCAGGTCCTGGCGGAGCGTTCGCCCTGTGTGCGTCTTGTCCGGCCCGGCGCAAAAACCGATCTGTTTGAGCTCGGTCATCACATGCGCGAACATATCCTCAACATACTCCATGGATGAAGCCGCGAGCACAATGTCGTCCGCGTAGCATGCGGAGGATTTGAAGAATCGTCTAAGCAGAAACCGTTGCCCTGCGCCTTCCAGCGGGGTTCCAGCTTCCGGTCACCATCGCCATGGTCATCGCGAAGATTCGTGGAGACTCCGGCGCGCCTTGCGGGAAGCCCCTGTCCACCCCGATCTCGCTCGAGGCGACATGCCTAAGAATGACTTGAACGGAGCTCCGATGCCAGATCACCGCAATCGGCGCAATCTCGCCCCATTCCTTGGAGCTTCATGGTGTTGAAAAAGGCATGGTGGTCGGCATGGTCGAAGGCCTTCTTCAGGTCGAGCTGCCGTGACCAGCGGTCGCCGACCTTCCCCGGCAAGCCCCGCCGCTCTGTTCGGCACGAAGAAGCCAGTACCCGCGCGGCTGCCAGGAAGCGCCGCCTGCACCGATCCGAAGAACAG